CACATCTAAATAATGGATCATACTGACATTCACATGGTTAGTGTTAACTAATAGTAAACTGGGGAGGATGGGAAGCCTGTCCAGTTTCTCTAGCCACTGTACATCCAGCACAAAGCATGGTGTCTGGCTGGCCCTCAGTGCATATTTCATGAATAAATGGATGCTGCTGGGCTCCAGCTCAAATGCCTCCCCAGCCATCAACCCCAGCCCTCCAGCTGCACCTGCAAAGGAGCTGGTGGCCTCATCTCTGCTTTACCAACCACTACCATCCAGCTGAACCTCATGATCTACCACCCAGTCAAACCGCTTTTTGTGTTTGTGTGTGTGTGTGTGTGTGTTTCCCTCCAAAACACCACACTTTTGTCATCCCAGGGACTTCGCAGCACTGCCCTCTGCCCGAGAAGTCCCTGCACTCTTGGGTGCTGCAAACCCCAGCACAGACTCTCAGAGGACTCATCCTGAGTGGCACAGGAATAAGGAACAAAAGGAGTGAATCAAGAGCACGGGAGTAAATGACCAGCAAACAAGCAGGGAGGGTGGCTAGGAGGTAGGACTCCATAGGGAAAGGCTGAGAACACCTTCCTGAGAAAGTGATCAATCAGATCCTAATGTGGCTCAGCCACAGGTGCCCCCCAGGCCAAAGGAAAGGCAAGTACAAAGGCTGCAGAGCAGGAAATGAAGGACTGCAGGGAAGGGGTGGTCCAGAGAGGAAAGCAGCCAGAAGAGAGGCAGGCAAGAGGGATGTGGCTGTAGATACCCAGACAGGCATGCTATCAAGACCCTGACAAACAGTGGGTTAGCTGTAAACTCTAAGCCTTAAGGATGAGTGGATTCAGATTATTCATTTTCTTCTCATTCATTCATCATTCATTTACTCGGTAGTTTTTAGCATACTCATAAAACATGCAACTATCAACTATCTAATCCCAGAACATTTTCATTACCTCAAACAGAAACCCAACCCATTAGCAGCTACTCACCCTTGCCACTCACTCATACCTGAGTCCTAGCCAGGATTACCCTTCTGTGTTCAGTGGCACAGCACACACTAGAGAACAAAACATCAGAGAAGCAAGATGATGGAAAAGTGGACTTCAATTTCCTGTAGGATCGTTGGGGGGCTGAACCAACCAAAAGCTGAATGAAGGTCTTGACTTGTGTAGCTGACAACTTCCTCTATGAGACTACAGCAAAGCAAAAATACTTGTTAACTGAACAGAATGGGTAGCTGTTATGGTTTAGATATGAGGTGTTCCCCAAATGTGAGACAATGCCAGAAAGTTTAGAGGGGAAATGACTGGGTTATGAGAGCCTTGACCTCATCAGGTCATTAATCCAGTGGAATGAATTAACTGAAGGCCTGCCGGGGAGTTACATATTTTTACCCTGGAGAGCAGAACTCTCTGCTTCCTGGTGCCCATGTTCTGAGCCACTTTCCTCCACCACACTCTTCCACCATGATATTCTGCTGTATCTTGGATCCAGAGCAATGGAGTTAGCTGTCTAAGGACTAAGACCTCTGAAACCCTGAGCCGCAAATAAACTTTTTCTCCTCTAAAATCATTCTTGTCAAGTATTTTGGTCAGAGGAGTGAAAGAGCTGACTAAAACAGTAGCTATTACCCTAGCCCCGATTCTGACCAACAAGGAGGAACTGTTTAGGCTAGAGCCTGTAGGCCTCGATGTGCTTCAGACTTCATAAAGGCAGGAGTGAATCCATGACATGGGGAATGGACTCACACTTCAGGAGCTACAAGACATGGAAGAATATTTAGGATATTTAGCTGAGAAGCTATAGTTCAGAAGATATAAGATACCAGTTTTCTAGTATCTGAAGGGTTTTTATATGAGATACTAGATTTGTTCTACAGGGACTGCCTGATGACCACACTTGGGACTAATGGGTGAAAAATTACAGGAAGACAGCAATATTTCAGATCATCACAGGGAAAGGTTTCCTAAGAAACCTCAAGGCAGAATGGTTTGCCTTTAAGGTAGAAAGTTCAAATGCAATCTGGATATTCAATAAGTAAATGCTATGGAGGTAATTCAAAAAACAGAGAGTGATCTGACAACTGTGGCATTCCCACACTTGAGGGGTGAGGTCAACCGTGAGGTGTGTTGCAAGTGATCTGTTAAAATAATCATAAAACACTGAACTGTGGGATTTACTGTCTTAGATTCTAGGTTATCATTATAACACAACTCTTATTACTAAGTATTTTCTTTGAGCAAAAATGAAATATTCCACATTGCTGGATAATGCTCATGGTAGTATAACACAACTCTTATTACTAAATATTTTCTTTGAGCAAAAATGAAATATTCCACATTGCTAGATAATGCTCATGGTAGTATTTATTCCCCTCAAGGGTATTTATAGGCTGAAAAGGGGGCAAGAATCACAGGTCAGGGACTGGCAGAATTCCTTTCAAAGCGTTGGTAGCACCCGCTCCTTGGCCTTCAAGCTGATTGCAATGTACTGGTGAACACTGGAGAACAAGTAGGCCATTGCATTTTTTGGAGTTGATCATCCACATCTTGCACTTGATAAGAGATAATGCTAAAGTCCTGGGAATGCATCTGAACTCCATGGAAAAGGAGAATGAAGACTAGGTATACTCTGCATATCTGTGCATTTCATTTTTCACAACATAGTCACTTTGATGACTTCAACAGGACCAAAGAAAAGTAGAGCTTTTATATGGTATTTCTTTAAATAAGCACGGCTATAGATGATATAAGTATGCCCAGAAAACATTACTTTCTTTTTCAAACACTGAACACTTTCCTCTAAGCAAGAATTGACATAAACTGGTAACTAACGGAAACCAAACTTAGCCAACCTTACCCCAATCCAAACTGGAATTGACTTTTCACTTTTCATCTCCCTGGATAAATGGCCCTGGCAGAAACTGCTGTCACAAAGGCCAACTGTATAAGTGCCACCATAAAAACGCTTGACTGGCCACCTGAGGCCTTTCCCGAGTCTTCCCTGGCTCCTTTCCCATGTCCTTTACAGTGGCCTTGCCAAACGAACAGATGTCAACTGCCCCTCTGGAATGTGGGACGCTGAGCAGATGGAAGGTGTCTGATCACCTGGTGCAGTGGGCTACTGGGCAGCCTGTGATTTCTGGCACCTCATATTTTTTTTATTACAAAATTTTTTCATTATAAAGCTATTATTACCACATTACAAAAATTTGGAAAGTAGAGAAAAATCACTTAGGATCCCATCATCCTAATAAAATTACTGTTTGCTTACTCTTCCTCAGGGCCGCCTGCATCTGCTTAGCCCGCCGACTCTAGAAAGGACACGCAGCAGCAACACGCACAAATATGTGTCCTCAGACAGACACTGCCGAACAATATACCCTCCCACACCTGCGTGTGCTCCTCACAGGTCAATTTCCACTCGTGGGCTCCAATTCCTGTCACATTGGCTGAGACCTTGATGCCACCTTGGCTCCTTTCCTCAGCTCCAAAATCCAGGCCCATGGGCGTCTGTCATTATCTCTCCTCACATCTGTCCACCTACCTCCTGAGGATTGTGAGTGCATCTCCAGCCAGGTCTTCCTCCTCTGGAGGATGGCAGTGTGATCTGCTTACTGATTTGCTTCGCTGACTCTTCCTCCTTCCCTTTTCTTTAATTTTGCACTGCTAAATTATTTTCCTCATTTTTACTGAACTCTTGCTAAACAACATCTATGTGGCTGTCCACTGTCTGATAAAGAAAGAACATTCTTTGGTTTGCAAATGTGCCCCCAATTTTTTCTTGTCATTATTTATTGTTTTTTGGAAACAATTAGTTATTTATTTTTATATGGTGCTGAGGATCAAACCCAGGGCCTCACATGTGCTAGGCAAGAGCTCTTCCACTATGGCTACAATCCCAGCCCATTCCTGCCCTATCTTTTGCTCTTTCCTCCACAAAGATTCTGCTGCCACACTGCTCCCTCTACATGAAGCTGTGGTGTGCAGAGTGGGTGGGGCAGGGTATAAGCCAGCTCCCTGGTATCCCCTGCAAGGTCATGGGTTCCAGGACAGCAGAGGTGGGAAAACAGGTTATTAAACTTCTGCCATTAACAATTATAAAATTGGACAGAATAAACGAATCAACTATTTTCAAGTATCAGACTATTACCAAAGCAGAGCTGTGTTCAATGCTCTGTGGCAGACTGAAGACAGGAGGGCTGGATAGCCACCATGGGCAAGCTGTCAAAGGCTACATTAGGGCCCAGGCCATCTCTCAGAGTGACCAAAGCCACAGTTGTCAGCCAGACCCATTCTAGAGAAGCAGGAAACAGTTAGAGACTGTCAGCAGCACATCTAGGGGCATGAGGAAGGGAATTGAGGGGGCTTACCTCCTATCAGCCTGCACTTTCTCCCTCTGACAGTCAGGTGCCCTGTTTCCTCTGTTATCATTTACAAAGACTACTGTCCTCAATCCTGCTTCTTCTTACTTAACAACATTCCAAAAGAATGTTTGAAGAGCCCCTAACTGTTTGCCTATTGCAATCAGCTGGACAGCAGGAGCAGGGAAGACCTAGCGAGAGTAAGCAGCTCAGGTCTGGACAGGCATTACTCAGGAAGATACTCCTGCTAACCACAGTGCAGTGTCTTGGGAGAGAACCCCTTCAAACTCCCTGTGCACTACAGGGCCCTCAGTCTCTCTGAACAGAGCTGCAGGGGCTTTCTTTATGGAACTCCTTACACCCAGACTGCAACTTCCTGAAGGGCCAAGGTACTCACTGTTGCCTCTTCTAAGGCCCAAGAAACCCTGGTGAGAAGCCGTTTCTCATTCTCACCCTCACCAAAGTCACCATAGGAACACAATCTTAAGGTCACACAGCTGTGTAGGCTCAGAGGCCCAGAGCAAGTTCAGGAAGAAAATAACCCCGACCTTGCATGTTCTGCTGCCTGGAGAGCACATAGCTAGGCAATACCCACAGGTATGCAGACTGCCTGCTACCCAGAATGTTATAGAAACTTCCATCCTACCATCAGCCAGTGGCCTACAGGAGAGGGCATCATCGAGGTCTCGGGCAGTTGATGGGTCAATGGTGAAGATGCAGTCTTTTCTAGGAAAAATTTTAAGATATAATTAGTAATGGCACAAATAATAGAAACTCTTCTTCACTATAGTACAGAATTAGGAACAGTTTGTTTTGCACAGATGCTCTGTTATGTAGAGCGAAGAGGAGTTTCTATCATCTCTCTCTGAGAAGGGAGAAATTTGAGACTAAAATGTGAAACTGAGGAGAGAGAAATGGGTGAGCACCTTCCCCTTCTGTTTGGGAACTGGCACTGAATTCTCCTCTACCCTGGGTGAGAATACATGTGAGCACGTGAAGGGAGTCTGCTTCCATGAAAGGTGCTTTCCAAGAAGGGTCCTTGGCAAAAGGGCAGGTCCTTTGCTAAGTTACTCTCTGATGGTCAACTCTTATTTGGCCTTCCCTTCATCAGGGCTGATGGGAACCTGTTCTTCAAAAATCTGTTTGACATGGTTTACTCTCCTTTTCCTATCTTGACCAAATGGGTATGCCAAAGAGTAAGTTACCTGACTTGTGACACGGGTGGGGGTGATGGGTGAGAAGGACCCAAGAATAGTAAAATGCTTTGGGCGTTTAATTTAGTTAACTATAACACAATATTACTTGGAAATAGCCAAAATCAGAGGATGTGTTCATGAACAGCCAAGTACTTTACCCAAGCTCATCCTCAAACACAGCCTGTGTCCATTTATCCTCACACTACCTTACACACATCTCATGCCTAATGTGTGCAGTGCCAGGACATTCTTATACTATTTCACAGTTTCCCACACAATGCACCCCACCCAAACCATCAATTCCCAGCCTGTAAATACCTAAAGATGCTGGCAGCAGATGTCCCCAGTTCTCTGCCCAAGTTCTGCCTGGAAATTGGGGTGTTCTGCAGTAACACCCTACTGTCTCTGCATTGCACTGCAGCACCCTCTGCTTCTATGGCCTCATCCCAAGCTCTTCCCTTTCATCTTGACTGTCACTGAAAGCCCTATCTCCTGATTCACTGGCCCTGCTGATACTGACCAGCTAGATAAGTTTTCTCCTGGAGTTGATTCTCTGTTCAAAACTTCCCCAAAGCTCTCCAAGGCTGCCAAGCTGCTCCAGTGCAGCCTGCTAAGCTCTCAGGGCCTTTAAAAAAAAATCCACCACCCTTACTCCTCATCCCCCTCACGGCCCACTTGATGCTTACACTGCTCCTCTCACCACCACAAACCCTCAAGTCTAAGACAGCATTAATTATAAAACACACCAACAATTCAGTGATAGCTTTCTGGGGAAATAAAAACCCCACCACATTAAATATAGACACTGATTTTAATTAAGTACAGGAAAAAGAAATGCTGAAGTTGAAAAGGATGGAATCGTAAATGGCAAATATATAACCAAACTGTAATATATATAACCAAACTTCCACAAGAAGAGAACCTAGCAACGAAAATGAAGAAAACTACTCACACATGCCACAGCTTGAATGGAACTTGAAAAATTATAGTGACAAGAGAGCAGGTCAGTGGCTGCCAGGGCCTGCCAAAGGGGTGCCTGTGCAGGGGGGTAGAACTTTGCTGATCTTGCTTGTGGTGTCTAAGATCTATCATCTTTTTAAAAAATTTTTTAATTGATTTCTTAAAAAAAATGACAGCAAAATGCATTACAATTCTTATTACACATATACAGCAACATTTTTCATATCTCTGGTTGTATATAAAGTATGTTTACACCAATTTGTGTCTTCATATGTGTACTTGGGATAATGATGTCCATCACATTCCACCATCCTTGCTGACTCCCTGGCCCCTCCCTTCGCCCCCCATCCCTCTCCCCTATCTAGAGTTTGTCTATTCCTCCCATGTTCCCCCTCCCTACCCTACTATGAATCAGCTCCTTATATCAGAGAAAACATTCAGCATTTGTTTTGGGGGGATTGGCTAACTTCACTTAGCATTATAAGATCTATCATCTTAAAACTTAAAAGAGAAATAAAGGTCAAGTATACTAATTGCTAATTTTAAAATAGTTTTAAAATGTGATTTTTGAACTGAGGAAAGTAAAAATATATGTGTTAAAATGTTCATAGCATTAATCAATGGATGCTAGAACTATGGATTAATTTTTCCCTTTATGCTTTTTCATATTTAAAAAATTACTGCAATTAAGTATTCCTTTTGGAGAAAATTAACACTGTAGATAATCTTCCCTCATAAAAAAAAAACCTGTGCATCAGAAACATAATATTGCTTATTAAGGCATTTGGCACTCTTAAAACATCTTTTTTAGACCCCTTGTCCTTAATAAAGTCAATAGCTTTAAAATTATAGATCTGGTACAATTATGTATTCACTGATACACTGAGAAGAGGCAGAAAAAAATGGGTGCCACACAGAAGGAAACAAAAGCATGTAGAGAGCAGTCCCAGGAAGCGGGGGTCATCAGGGGACCACATGCACACTAAATATTTCAAGGACAGTAACACACAGTGTGGGGAACACAAGGCTGAGCCTTCAGGATTAACTAGAAATAATTTCTGTTCCACCACATAAAAGGGATTGTAAACAAGGGTGCTAGAGGAAGAGAGAAACACAGGGTCCCCTGAAAAGCACACTCCCCAGGGCTATGACCCCAGTGCCTTGAATGGAGGCTGTGACTCAGAGGTGACTGCTGAATGAATGAGTGGATGGCTGGCAACAGGAAGAGCAGGGAGGTGCCATGAATCCCCACCCCACAGCGTGCAACCTGGCTCGGGTCTGCTGGGGGCCTTATATGTGGCTCACAGGGTAAGAAGGAACTGTCTGCTCCTTGCTCCTTTTTGTATCCCCCATAAAACCTAGCCAGTGTTTGTAAACACTGAGTACTCCATAAAAATACTTATGTAACCAAGAGTGAAATGTCAGGCAGGTAGTAAGACTGTTTGGGGCCTTCTTCTTTCATCATAATGACATCATAAGAAGTTGAAAGGATCCCTCTACGTCAAAATAAAAAAAGAACAGTTATCCTGGCCAGGGGGTGGGAGCCACAGTTAACTAGTTTACTTGGAGAGTTAACTAGGAAGTTCTATTTTCTTAAAATTAACTGTCTCCAGGCATTTTGAGACCTTCATTTCTATGGATACAGTGAATGGATGATAATGCCCACAAAGCCATTTCCCTTCTAAAACTTACTCAGCCATATCTGACAAGTGTTAAGTCTTCCACTGTTAGTTGGTAACAGTGAGAGGAACCTTGAGAGGAACCTCTACCCCAACTGTTTTCTGAGGAAAAAGATTATCTGACTAGCAATTCTCTACGACTTTTATTATTTTATCTGCTTTTAAACTAGAAAGATAAAAATCAAAATTAAAACTGACCTTGAGGGGCTGGGGTTATGGCTCAGTGGTAGAGCGCTTGCCTAGCATGTGTGAGGCACTGGGTTTGATTCTCAGCACCACATATAAATAAATAAACAAATAAAGGTCCATCAATAACTAATAAAAATTACACACACACACAAAAACCCTGACTTTAACAAACAGTACTCAGGAAAACTTGCTTGCTACACAGATGTGCCATCCAGACACTACGCTTGATCGTGGGGTGGCACACCACAGTTCGTAGACCAGATTTAACCTGTCATCGTCGTCGTCTTCTTCTTGCTTTATTTTTTTGGAGGGTGGGGAATGTGGTACTGGGGATTGAATCCAGGGCATATTAGGCAAATACTCTGACACCACTGAGTTTCATCCCTGAATAGGTAGGATTACAGGCACGCACCATCATATCTGGCTCTGTTTTTCAAAGGCTTCTGAGCTAAGTTCAGCTTTTGCATTTTTATGTGGTTGAAAAAAAATCAAAATACTATTTTGTGACACATGAAAACTGTATGAAATCAAAATTCAGTATCCATAAATAAAGGTTGATTAGAACACAGCCATGCTTTTTTGATATAATAGCACAGTTGATGGAGATAAAATGCCTAAAACATTTACCGTGTAGGAGTCTGGGGATGTAGCTCCCAAGTACAGAAAGTGTCTAACATACTCAAGACCCTGGATTAAATACCCAGCACCCCCTCAAAAAAAAAAAAAATAATAATAATATGTGGCCCTTAATATAAAGTTTGTTGGGTCCTGTTTTAGATCAAGGTTTCCAAATGGCCAGATAAATCTTTTAATTTATTAAAAATGATCTTGTCATTCAAGCAGTTTGGGACATGCTAGGCCTATTTCTAATTATAAGACTTCACAGAGCCTTTAAAATGCTGATGTCAGTAGTTCTTGCCAGACCCATTTTGCCCCCCGGCACTTTTCTGCAGCACAGCATCTCCCTGAATGAAGCAATGGCACCCCTAGAGAAGCGATGGTCTGCACTGGGACACCCTATACACTGGCTTTGCCACCATGTCTACCCCAAGGGACACCAAAGGACGCCAACTAAGTGGTTATGCCACCTACTGCAGGAAAGCTCATGAAAACAAGGAACATCTGATCACCTGGTGTTTTTCCATGAGCACTTACGGGGCAAGCTGGCACAATGCGAGGAAACTCTTCTCCTAAGTGGACGGCCTACATCTTACAGATGTATGAATTTTGTCCTTAAGTTTCTTTTTGCTCTGGCCACTGGGAAACTCAGAAAGACACTCATAACTTGTCTCAAGAAGATATCACTTGTAGGTTGAACTTTATGAACCAACTTTTACCTAATGATCCTACTCAAAGATGTCTTTTGCCCCATTTCCTAATTTTAAGAAAACCACTGCATGATATGTAATATTTGCAAATGGCCTGAAGCCTTTTTTTGGGGGGGGGAGGGAAGCAGCATATAAACAAATACATATGTACAGCATTTCAAAATCATGTATTGAGGGGATGTTGGAAGAAAGAGACACATGCGTAAACTACTAAGAGAACCAGCTTCCAGACAGAAGTAAAATAAGAGGCTCCTAACAAGGAACTGTATTGCAGCAGTGGATTCCAAACTGGTGCTCACACTGTGTAAAACTGGGAGAAGCAAGGGACAGTGAGTGACCCTGACAAACCCCAGTTTTTAGCGCTAAGAGCCAGT